TAAAAGACTGGTGTCCCAGTTTTGTAGCACGTTAGTTGAAAACCATAAGGATAACTCTGATAGTAAAAGACGGGAGTGGATTAGTGACTTACAAGAAGATATTTCATATACTGAATGGGGTAAAATATGTTCAAAAACACACACTCAAACCATTAACACTCGTTTGAGAATGATACAATTTTCCCTCCCCATCTCCAGCTGCCTCCCTCTTCCCGCTCCAGCACAACCACCCACACATGCAGGGCCTTGGAGTAGGGGTATGTCACCAGGGTGCAGAGGAGGCTACCCCCCCCCCTCTGTCCCCTTCTGGCTGCCTCTGCCTCAATTTTATCCCACAACTTAGACATTCACATTACTCACACTCTCATTACACATACATATAGGATCTTGGGGGTGGGCACGATACACGGAGTCCAAAGTACCATCAGGGTGTACACCCCACCCCTGGCATCGTTGCCCACCTCTCAATTTTAAATACACGTAGACATTGAGGGCTATCAGGAGGGACTATGCGCTTACCTGCTGCTCTCTGGCAGGTAGCTCCAAGCCCTCCTGGGTTTTAAATGCACCTTAGAACACACATGCATCAACATTACAATGAGCGGGTGGAGGGAGGTTCGGAGTCTTCTCTCACCCCCGTTCTCTGCGACCTGCTGGAGCAGGGGGGCTAGGAGGAGGAGTTGGCCGTCCGACTGCGGTCTGGAGTGTGGAGCCTTCCTGCTGCTGCGGAGTCGGGGCGGTCTGCCTCCCCCCACCGCAGGGAAAAGGGAAACACCACCTGGGTCTGGGTGCAGTTCCCCCTCCAGGGCGGGGGCACCTAGACCCGGTTTGTAGAGTACGCTTGGGGAGTGTGATCGTGTGTACAACGTCTCTTTATGTCTGTCTCCACGTTGGTTGAGTGTGGAGTAAGTGCATATGAGAGCATGAGGGTGGGAATGGATGTTTGTATCTGTGTGTGCCTGTATGTCTGTGTCTATATGTCAGGTTGGGTGTCAGGCGCCACCTCTCTGGGGACATCTCAGGCCCTCCAAGGTTTGGAGGCCTATCTCCCCCTACCACCACTTCCCCTGCCAGTGGCGGACCCCCTCAGACATCGGTGCGTTGGTGGTTCTTTGTGTCCGGGGATGGGCGTCCAGGTACACACCGGCTCACTCCTTGGCGGCCGCTTATCGGGCCTGGAGCCTGGGGCTCGCTCGGGCCACTTCGGAGGTGGGGTGCCCCCGGCCTCTCGGCCTGGGGCTCGGTCACTCAGGCGCAGCTGGCTGCCGGCGGAGCTCACGGGCGCGTCACTGCAACTCCCCCTGGCTTCTGCTCCGCGGCTGCTGAGTGAGCCCTCATCTGGGACTCTCCTCAGCTCTTTCCGGGACAGTGGCGCAGCTGCCCCTCTGTTGGTCTTCCTTGGTCTCTTGTGTTCTGGGGGCCTCTGGATGTCTGGAGTTTTGATTTCCTCCACACCTGCTTCACGCCCTGGAGGACGGGGCTGTGGCCCCCCCACCCTCTAGCAAATTATTACATGAAGGAACCTTTTAAAAAAACAAAAAACAAGCGCGTCCATGCTCACAGGTGTACACACTGGTGATCGCACCCACAAACTACACCCTTTTTGGCTCCTACCTCAAAGCACACTGTGTTCTGTTGATCTTATGTGCTGCACAATAATGTTTAACATTTAGTATTTACTGTCATATTCCCATATATCATTGTGATGTTGTTTATTCTATTACTCTTGTTCTCTTCTGCTTGCTTTCTTTTTTCTTTCTCAGCAGGTGACCCAGGTGATTGATATATGCATTTTTTTTTCTCTGCCCGTTCTGTTGGTTTTTGTCTTTTGCCCTTCTCCCCCGTCCCTCTTCTCAGCTGTTTCTCTTTCCCTCTTTCTTTCTCCCCTTCTTTCCCCCAGTCAAGTCTGTCCCGTATTCAGTAAGTGAAAATAAAATAAACAATAAAAGGTGAATCAAATGGACCATTACGGCAAGGCTGGGATGGTCAGTTTGGTAAAGTAAATCCGTTGGGCATCTTTCTTTGCCTTTAGACAACAATTCTGATGGCAAAAGAGCCAAACGGGACAGGCCAAAAAAAAAAAAAAAAAAGAAAAAAAAAGAAAGAGAATGATACAATTTAATTGGATAATGCGAACATACATATCCCCTGTACAATTAAATAAATTTGATCCTAATATAATTGATCTATGCTATAAGTGTAATAGGCATCAGGGTACACTATATCACTGCCTGTGTAAATGTGAAGAGATCCAAAAATTTTGGAGCTCTGTGTTAAAATATATCTCTCAGATCACAACTTCTCCTGTACCGCTTTGCCCTAAGTTATGCATTTTAGGCTTGTATCCAGATGACTGTACTCTGTCTTGTGAGGAAAGAAAAATGGTCGATCTTTGTTTGTTACAGGCCAAACGCTATATCGCCTTATGCTGGAAGAATGTTGGTTGGCCCTCTTTTGACCACTGGTTAAATAACTTAACATCGAGTTTAGCTCTTGAGAAACTGACCTATATTGTTAGAAAGAAGGCTTCTGAATTTTACAACATCTGGAAGATATTTTTGGATCTACCGAGGAATGGGGATGTGGGGGGGGGGGGGGGGGTGAGTGAATAAGACAACTAGATAATGAATAATGTCTGACTTGCTGTTGGGAATGTACTGTGTAACCTATATTATAATTTTTTTTTAAAATTGTATTTATTTGTATGGTTTAATTTAATTTATTTAACTATGCATTTATTTGGAACCTTTTAGGATTAACGCTTCAATTATTGTTATTACTATTATTCTTATTCTTATTATTATTATTATTAGTGTTGTTATTATTATTATTATTTTAATGACTGCCATACGTTCATTTTATGTTGGTGTTGATACTGTTGAAAAAACAAATAAACATACGTTTAAAAAAAAAAATAATAATAATGTTTTATTATTATCATTATCATCTTTTTTAAAAAGAAATTTCTTACAACTGTCTTATCAGCCGGTGTCCCTGTTTTTGATGAACAACTGCTTCCTTTGGGTTCTTCTAAAAAGGATGTTTTTGTAAAGCCTCTTCAGCTGCTTTAAACACTTTGTTTCTCTTTGGCACAGTAATAAATAGCAGAATCCTCTGGCCTCAAATTGGACAACCTCAAATACACCATGCTGTTGCTGTCATATCTGCTGATTTCTACACGTCCTCTCAAACTGCTTGCATAACTGTTTCTGCTGGAACTTGAGAAGCCACTCCTGATCAATTCCAGTGGTTTTCCTGCAGGTTCTCTGACCCAGATCATAACACAGCAATCAAAACTGAAGCCTGATCCTCTACAGGAGAGACTAAGAGTGTCTCCAGGCTTTTTCACTACTGGACTGGAAGGAATGGACTCCATGCTCTGACATGTAACACCTGATGAGATGAAAGAAGAGAGGAACAAGTGAGACACCTGGAAAGTTGTAATGGGGCCACAAATGAGTATGACTTGATGGTTTTTTTTGATATGAGAAAAATAAGAATCGAGACAACTTACAGGGCAGAGAGAGAACAATGAGCAGGGGAGTGAGTGTATTCATCATCTGGTGGAGATGTGATTTCTGGTGCTCTATGCAATATAAAAGACCAGCACGGGATGAAGATTTGCATCATGATATCAGAGAAGGGAGGGGCTCAAAAAGATAGTTATTCTTTAGTTTAATTGTAGCTTTTAGTAGTTAATGATGTTTAATATAGCTGGTTTATCATATGTGTAGTGTAACGACAAAATGTGTATTTTATTAGGGTTCATTAAAATTAAAACAACAGGAGTAGTAATGAAAGAGAAAGTTAATTTACATTTTTATTTGGCTTTGTTGTGAATAATACACATGAAGTGGAATAAATGGTAAGCATACAGATTGCTAGCATTACTTGTGAAGTCTTAAGGATATATATGCTACATATGTATTACATACTTAAGATTTAAAGATAAAAAAAAAACCATCTGAATCAACATTAAAATTTAAATTTGGGTGAAAAAAGTTGATTTCATTTGTTTCACATGGCAAATTTAACCTGTACATTTATGTGATTGGTTGAGGTGTTTTATTTTCTGCAGTGTTGTTCAGTCTTTACTGTTTGAATGCATATAGAGTATGAGTAATTTTTTGCACACTTCAATGTGTTTTAGATTTAAAACTCTAGGTTTTATCCCTTAGAAGAATGGCAACTTGCAAAAAAGGGAAAATTATATCTTTATCCATAACTCATGAGGGATGTACAGTTGTACTGTAAAGCAATAAATTAAATTGGATAAAAAGCACAAATAAATTAAAGCCTGAAATAGAGGCTGGGTGTCAAATGCTGAATATCAAATCAGTATAAAACGAAGAGCTACAGAAAAGAATATAACAGTCCTTTATTGTCATTGTACATGCACAACAAAATTGTGCTCCACACCAACTATGCAGGTATAAAATATAAATAGTAAGATAGCAGAAATAAATAAAAAACATGAGAGATATATACAAACAGCAGAAATATAGACAGAACAAGAGAAAGGCACACAATAGAAGACCAGGTTGCAAAGTCCTTGGGCCTCTAAAATAGTTGACTGAAATATTTTTCATTTCCTTTTTTTTTTAAATAAAAAAAAGCATTAAATTGCATTATTTTGCTTTGTTTGTAAACATGGACTCATGAACTTGTAACTACTAAACTATGCAACACTTTCATATTTTTTATGCTTTCGAAGAAACACAGCAATGTGGTTTATTTTGAGGGTTATGTATACCAGAATATGTTTTTGGTTGTTGAAGAAAAGAAGAGGGATTAAGAAAAGTAACCTTCGTCTGTGAGAAATAATGTTTATGAGAACTGGAATTAATAATCACCTTTGTTTCGAGATTATGTTTCAATGTTATGTATTGACTTATTATGCTGATCTGAAATCATCAGTGGTCTGAGAGCTCCTCCTCTGGTGGTTTCATGTTAGAACTGTTCAGTGAGGGGTTTTTGTTCAGCTCTAGTGAAGGGTTGTGTTACTGTGGCTTTCTAGCACAGTAATACGCAGCAGAGTCCTCTGGCTTTAGGCTGGAAAGTCTCAGATGCACCATGCTGTTGCTGTTGTCTCTGGTGATTTCTATACGTCCTTGCACACTGCTGGCATAAATGGTTTTACTTGCATCATACCAGATTGCTCCCATCCATTCTAGTGTCTTTCCTGCTGGTTGTCTGATCCAGTGCATTCCATACTGGCCAAAGTCAAAACCAGACCCTCTACAGGAAAGACTGAAGGCTTCCTGAGGCTTTTTCAACACTGAAGTGGAGGGAATGGACTCCAAAGCCTGACCATTTAAACCTGGAAAGAACCAGTGAGATGAGTGAAAGTGGGAGAAAATAGTCACTTCATAAATTAACAGAAAATAAATAAATAAATAAATAAATAAATAATGAGTCAGTTATAAAATTATATGACTTACAGGGTAGACAGAGCACTGTCACCAGAGCAGAGAGTCTGAGCATCATCTTGAAAGTGAAGTTGTGAAGGAAGTGCTTCCCATTAGACAAGATGACAGCCAGGCCCTACGAGGACAGAAGTAAGCCATCTAAATTTTATTAGGGAGGGACTAAAATGTCAGGCTTAAATATTATTCAAATACATCTTTAAAAAAGGTTAAAAAAGAAGGTTGAAGATGCGATGTAGTACACACACACACACACACAGACACACACACATATAAAGCAGACAAAGACACATTTTTGATAAAGCATAACAGTGAGTTCAGTCTCGTGTTATCTTCTATTATGTTGGAAAAAATGCTATCTGGGACAGAAGTGAAGTTAAATGATTTAATTAACAATACGGGATTACAAAACAAAAAATAAAATGTTTTGCTTTTGTTGTTTAGTTTATTTTGTTATCCATGCATTAAAATTTTCAACTACTTTTCTAACTTGGGGTCATCCAGCAAGAGGCAAGGTACACCATGTGTGAGTAATCAGTCTGTAAAAAGCCTGTGTTTTAAGAATGAGAATAGACCAACAGAAGGATCGTTTACACTTTTATGGTTATTATATTAAACTTATTATGACTCATTTAATTACATCCTGTTGATTTTTAAGTGACATCTTATTTCTTCTTATTGTGCTGATCTGAAATCATTGTTGCTCTGAGGGATCACCCTCTTGTGGCTTCGTGTGTTCAGTCACTGAGGGGTTTTTGTTCAGGTCTCATGATGCTTTGTGTTACTGTGGGTGGTTCTCTGGCACAGTAATACACAGCTGAGTCTTCAGGCTGCACATTCTGTCCAATCAGAGTCACGGTCCTGTTGGAGGAGTCTATGTCGATACTAAACTTGTTCTGTAGTGAGTCTTTGTACCGTGTGCTGTGTCCAACATGTACACTACCAATGCACTCCAGTTCTTTTCCTGCAGGTTGTCTGATCCAAAATGTTCGAGCGCTGCTAAGAGAATAAGAGGTCTGACAGGTTATGGTCAGACGATCCCCTGGATGCACAGTCACAGAGGCTGGGTGTGTCAGCTGTTCACACTTTACACCTGAGGAGGAAAACATGTGGAATATTGAAACAGTGTAGCAGTCACTGTATTTTTATCATAGTGTGAGTTCCTCAGTGAGACTCACAGGATCCAGCAGCCAGCAGCAGCAGAGCTAAAGAGAACATGTTGGTACTGAAGTTGATCTGATTAGAACGTCTCATCTTCTTCTGTAACCGGTGCCATGATTTCACGTCTTAATAGCAGACTGTCAGGAAGTTCACTTTGCATATTGAGAAGGACTCTGAGAGCCCTCTCACAAGAGGACTCTCACTTAAAATTGTGTTAATATAATATGCATCTATTATTAACTCAGGAAGAAGCTCTGATTCACAGAGGATGCTCCTACAAACATATTGTGTGAATGCAAAATTTGGAAAATTATACAAGGATTCTTGAATGTGCCATTGTGTCTATCTATTTTTGTATCCCTCTTAAAAATGGTGTTTCAGTGTTTTTGAATGATATTTTCCATATTATTTTTCATTATAATCAAAAGTCTTTTTTATATTTTAAAAGCATTCATAGAGGATAAACACAGGTGTTATTGTGACAGTGAGTTGAACAACATAGTTTGATCATCTGTTGCCCCCTGTAGGTTCTTGTGAAACTGTATGGCTGAAGGTTTTTGTAAAGCTTATGTCATTACTTAAACCATTGTTTGTCTTTCACACAGTAATACACAACAGAGTTTTCTGGTTTTAGGATGGAAGTCTCAGATATGTCATACTGTTGCTGTTGTCTTCGGTAATTCTATATGTCCACTCAAACAGCTCATGTATCTGTTTCTGCTGGAAGATAAAAAGCCTTCTCCTATCCATTCCAGTTCATTTCCTGGTTGTTGTTTTATACAATCCATAGTACAGCAACTAACTGTGAAACCAGATCCTTTACAGGAGAAACTGAGAGTCTCTCCAGGCCTTTTCACGACAGGATTGGAAGGAATGGACTCCATACTCTGACCTGTAACAGCTGAGGAGATGAAAACAGAGAGAAACAAGTGAGACAGATAAAATGATAGACAGATAAAAGTATCATTAACTCACCATCAATCAGTGTGTCCTGGTACATGGTGAAATAGTGAGCAGCACAGGAACTCAGGGGGAAGCAAAAAAGCAATCGATGAGGTACAGCACAAATGCTACGGCAAGGACGAGGCAGGACGTCAGGTCATTCATATGTGTTCATTCATAGTTATGATGCCTTCAGTGAGAATCTACAATGTGAATAGTCATGAAAATAAAGAAAAAGCATTAAATGAGAAGGTGTGTCCTGGTAGTGTATTAAATACTAGTATTTCCGATGTTAATAAATGTGTTTTTGTTAACGTGAAAATATGGGATAGTCTGAAAGTGCAACAGATCACTTCAGAGGTTGCCAATAGTAAGCTTTAGTGTGTTTAGTGCTCTCCCTGCCAGTTGTGAATTCCTGTAAACCCCCAAAGTACACAAATGCATTTCATTCAAAGACAGAGAGTGTACAGATTTACAAGGACACTACATATGTTTGCAAAGAAGAAGAGTTACAACAACAGTCTTTGTGCTTTCAAATGACTGCACCTCTTCATAACACCACTGGCATACCAACACATTTATCGGCATCTTAAAATCACAACATTAGTAGTTTTTTTTTACTTAGAGGTGGAAACTATATTGCTGCTTCTGCACATGGAGCTTTGTCTCACTCTTGTGGAAAATCTGAGAATTACAATATCTTGGAGCACGAAGCAATTTTCTGAAGGATAAACATGGTGTTTATTATTATTATTATTATTATTATTATTATTATTATTATTATTATTATTATTATAGTAAAAATGGCCAGTATAATTTAAAAATTGGACTGGAATCTTACTTTTAAACAATCAAATGACAGGCGCTTATCTTAATCAATGTAGCTATGATACCATATAAGGTGATGATGATGAAAAAACCAATGAGGGTGAAAACCGCATTCCAGCTTTCCTCAGCTCATATCAGCATGCTCAATATCATCAAATAAATCACACTTCTTTTACTTGGGACAGGTCAAGGTGGCTCTGGACACTGAACTTTCCATCTGGGCATCTTTGGAGTCACTAGTGTTGTAGTTCAGCAGTTCTGTGTGTCCATTTGGAAACCCAGTGATGTTAATGGATACAGAACTGAAGCCAAAAACCAGGCACACAAGTTCATTAGAGCCCTGAAGCAAGTAGGCAGATGGTTGGCTGTAGATCACTGAGGCTGGAAAGATGTGCATTACAGTTTTAGTAATCAGTTAATCATTTTAATCAGTTTTGTTAAAATTAATATAATGGAAATAAAAAATTAATGTTAAATGCTAAACAGCAGCTCACCAAACACATCAGTTATGGTGGCTTCAACAAGTGCTTCAGATGACTCATGTGTGACAACACAGGAATACGTAGACCTTTTGTCTTCAGTTTTGAATATGTTTAGTCTGCTGCTCACAGAGTAAGAGCTGCTCCCTGAGTATTTCCATTGAGGACTGTTAACGTCATGCATGGATGGGAGAGTCTGGCCATCTTCTTCCCAGTGCACTATGATGTTTGCAGGGAAAACTCCAGACACTAGGCAAATAAGCGTTAGGATGTCAGACACTGAAACTTCAGAGGCAGTTGGTTGCATTGTCTTCACTGTTGGCACACAAAGGTCTTGAAAAACACTAAAGGGACAGAACCATAAAAATATAGTCACAACCAGAGGAACATGAAGTTTAGAAAGAGCTGTAATATATTTGTTACCTTTCTAACATTACCTCTGGTTTTGCTTATATGGTCTTCATTGCCCTGATTGGAACATGGATGTTTTCCTTCACAAAACCCTTGTTTATCTGCATCCCAATTTTCTGCTGACACATTAAGGAAGCTCTGTTGAGTCTCTGTCCCATTGTTGTAACTCACTGCAGGATTAGTTAGGACATAACAGTCAGGAATTTTGTTGCCAGCTGATTTCCAGGTGATGGAGAAATCTTTAAGACTAGGGGCAACCAGAAGACAGATAACAGTCACGGGTCCTTTGTTCTCAGGCTGCTACAGTGATGATGGTCCCTGAACATGAACCCCAACTAGCTGTGAGGATGATGGAGGTACTAAAAAAAAAACAAAAAAACAAAACAATTCTTAATGTGTATCACAATAATAGTGTTTTCACTTTACCTGTACAGAGACTGACATTTCTTGTGATATTTTTATTCAGAGATCTGTCAGATACTGTGCAAGAAAAGATCTTTCCTGTTTCCCACTCAGAGTGATCAATTATAAGTTGGCTGGTCACTCCAGCATGTCCATCTACACTCATGCTGATATCAGTGGTTGTTGATCTTTGCTGAGACTCGTTAAACCATCTAATATGATCATTGAAGACCCATCCAGAGCATAAGAGTGTCTGTGATCTTGACTCCTTACTTTTGACCAGAAGAAGCTCCACTAAAGTGAGACAAATCAGGGCATGAATTAATCTATTTAACAGAAACCATAAAGGGAAGCAAGAGTAGCTTTTACCAAAAATATAGATGGTAGAGTTTGCTCTCCTCTGCATGTTAAATGCTTTACTTGCTTCCAGTTGTGTTTTACTCTCTGCACATTTTTTTCATTCGTGGCGCTCCATTAATCAGCCAGGAAATCATGGCATCAAAATGAGTGTGGACCCGACAATATTTATAGTCTTCTCAGCAGATGTGACACACGTTTGCTCTCCTCTGCATGTTAAATGCTTTACTTGCTTCCGCCAACTCAAAATTTTTTTTAAACTTATAATAAGAGTTGTGTTTTACTCTTATTAGCTGTTTGTGGCGCTCCATTAATCAGCCAGGAGATCATGGCATCAAAATTAGTGTGGACCCAACATGTTCCTTGCACATTAGAGTCTGACGCTTAAGTCTTAAACTTGGGAATCTCCACATGAATGAAAGGTGAATTTCTGTGGAATTAAAGAAAAACATGCTAATTAATAAACTTTATCTTAAGACTGTTCTTAATTTGTTCAAGATATTCCTGCAAATGTGCATGTTGAATATGGGCTTTGAGACAGTAGCTGTACATACTCACTGTGACAAATGCTTATTGTCTTCTTATATTCAGTATAATTGTGATTAGCTTTGCAGGTAAAAGTTGATCCTTGTCCCCACACTGAGAGTTTGCTGCTCAGGCTGAAGGTTTTCTGCTCTGTCCCTTCACTTTGTAGCTTCGTACTGCTTGGCTTCTTGTTTTGACTCAGTGGTGATTTGTCCTAAAACCACTCCAAAGCCAGTTCGTCTGGAAAAAAAGCCATTTAGCAGATGAGCCTTACTGGTGAGATTCCAAATTCCCAGTCCGAAACTGGGTACAATGTGATGTTTGGCGACACAATCCATGGCACTGAAATAAAGAAGAGATTAGTTTGATTTACATAACTCATTCTAAATATCATGTGTGAACACAACAAGGAAAAACATTAATCTTATCTAAGTTATACATACCTTCAGATTCTGGTAAATGCAGAACTCTTCAATTTCAGTTGTCATTAAGTTATGTTAGAGTTGTACTTTTACATTGTTTAGTGTTGTTCAGCAAGGCGAAAATATGGCAGGAAGTCTGTTGCACAGTTGTTATGCATGATAAGACAGAGTGATCAGGGCAAGCAGCAAGCGGAAGCATTGAGTAACAACCAGGTCTCAAAAAAGTACCAAAACACAGAAGTGAAAGAATGCAAAGAGCAACGGAGCATCACAAACAGCAGGTGTGAGGTGTGGTTATGCCAGTAAGAGAAACAAAGTGCACATTTAAATTTCTCATATCAGTTTGCATGTGCACCACATCCATATTTTCTTATCAATTTGCCAAAGATTTTAGTTCTCAAATCTTGTAATAATAGACTAAAATGCAACCAGTTTTAAAAGCTAACATTTTGCATTTTTGGTATCACATGGGCTGCTGATCCCAGCGCTGTGGATGTGGGTTGGCCTGTATTTATCTAATAATAACAACTTTTAATGCTTTTTTTTTTGGTTTACTATATTTTAAGCAGCTGTGTAAAGCATATGAATTATTCACTGTTGCTCTTTTCTCAGTGTTATTCTAGCAGCCACTGTCAATATCTGATCTAATATCTGATCTGATAAATTCTTCTGTAAATCTGATGTGAAGTTTTTTACAGAAGAAAGATTGCCAAGTGTGATTAGCGTTTATGCCACATGCAGTTTATTTTTCTGAATCATGTGTGAGTTTTAAAACACTGCCTGAAAGTTTTTTGAGTTACACAGTTTGCAGTACCATTAAGACCCAATTTAGCTGCTCTCGCTTCTTGTCTTTGGAAATTTGTCACTCTACAGGTTATAAAAGGAGACGATGTAACACAAATACATCCCTCAGTAGATAACTCACGCAACAACAGTCTACAATGTTGAATCTTCTTGAATATCTCATTTTTACACTAACTAAAAGTTGGGATGAAGAAATTACCGTGTATTAATATTTACAAAAGTTCTGAAAATGAGAAAAACTAAAATACATAATTTTCTCTACTATACCAAACATTGATTATCAGATACATGTAAACAGGATAAAGACTATTGGGTTTTGTACTGTTCAAGGAACTTCAGTTTGTAAATGTGAATTGAAGAATAAAATTTAGCTTTTTTTATTTATTCATTTTTGGTTTTCTGAGTTTTTGTACAGTGTTTCTTCCTCTTGTGTCACTGTGAGTCTCGAGCACAATAATAAACAGCAGAGTCTTCAGTCTTCAGGCTGTTCATCTGCAGATACACCTGCTGTCTGCTGTTGTCTCTGGAGATGGTAAACCGGCCTAGGACTAACTGAGAGTAGTATTTGCTACTACCAGCACTAACTTCGGCAACCCATTCCAGTACTTTCCCAGGAGTCTGTCTGACCCAGTGCATATCATAGCTGCTAAATGTGAATCCAGAGGCTGTGCAGGTCAGTCTGTGGGACTCTCCAGGCCTTGTAATGACTGGTTCAGATTCTGTCAGAGTCTGACCATCAACACCTGTCAAAACAAACAAGAACATTGTCACCTGCTGTGAGTTGGAAAATCATTAAAAGAAATTCAGCTCAAAATGACTGAAACTATACCTCCCCAGAACAGTAAGATAATCAGCAGTCTGGCCGATATGTCCATTATGTTAAACTGTGAGTTCACTCCTGTCATTCACACTTCAGTCACAAGAGTATTCTTTAAAACCATCCAAGTTTTGCATTAACTCCTCCCCACAGAAAGGATATAGTGTTCATCCTTTTTTTCTTCTGATCCCCTATTTTAAATTCAATTATCAACAAGTAGTTGCTACCGTAAAGAGAACACAAATCAACCAGCCACACAGATGTTCCAGTCATGTCTGGATTAATGAATGATTGTAGTTGTTTCTACATAGAAGTGCATTAAAACATATTTGTCTCAAGATTGTTGAAGTCTTCAGTCAAATCACGTACTATGCTCATCTTAACTGAAGCATGTTTTTTAATATTGTGAGTAGTGCATCACTGCCATATATACAGTTACTTCCTTTAACACTGATGACAACTTGAAAGCATCAGTGGTCCAAGAGCTCCTCCTGTGGTTTGTTAATGTTAGAGCTGTTTAGACACTGAATGGTTTTTGTTCAAGTCCACTAGTGTTTTGTGTCACTGTGAGTCTCTGGCACAGTAATACACAGCACTCTCTTCAATTTGCACATTCTGTCCAGTTAGAATCACTGTGTTCCTGGAGGAGTCGGTGGAAATGCTGAACTTGTTTCTGAGTAAAGGACTGTAGTGAGGTGTGCTTCCAAAAGCTGCTCTTCCAATCCACTCTAGTCCTTTTCCTGGAGCCTGTCTATTCCAGTGAGTCCAATAGCTGTGCACGGAATAAGACACCTTACAGGTGATGGTCAGAGGGTGACCTAAAAGCACACTCAAAGAGTCTGGTTGTGTCAGCTGTTCACACTTGACACCTGTTGAAAAAAGACGTGTTGTTGTAAATTATAACACAAGGAAGAAATGCTGGATATAACAAATCTACAGAGACTCACATCCAGCAGCTAAGAACACTAGCAGAGCTACAGACAACATATTGTTTGGTGTCTGTTGTGTTGTGAACTCTGCTTCACAATCTGATGTAAAGTTTTTATAACCCAGTAAGAGAGAAAACCTATGAGTTTGCATAGGATCATACACATCATAGCTGGTCTAACTGGAGCCAATCAAAGAGTGTGCGTGTTACGTCTGTTATGCACCTACTTAGACCTACATAGGTACATTTTTATTTCACAATTCAGTATAACAGTAGTGAAACAACTGATTGTTTCATTGCCTTTAATATATCTGAAAACAATATAGTATTAAGATTTCCTTTTTTTTTCTTTTTGTAGACCATCTAGTAATTAAAAAGAATATTAAATAATATAAATTTTACATGTTTTGGTATTATTTCAAAAATCTTAAAACCTTATAATTGCTTACTAATGCTCTGGCTTGCTGGGATAAACCAGTGGTAGATCATTTTACCCAAAAGTACTTATTATGAGTGGTTTTTAAACAGTTATCATTTTGCACATTTTAAATTCACATTTATATGGCTGCAGAAATCAAAAACTGTTCACAACCAAATGTCACTGAGTATTGTGATATCACTGGTTATAATTTTATCACCAATATTATTCTAATTGTACTGTTTTTAACATGTTATGAACAAAAAATAAATAAAAACGTGACAAACAAATTGATTTAGCAAATACTAAATTTAGAATTCTTCACATTCTGGTACAATTAAAACATGGAGATGGATATTTGAATACTGTATTCCATAAAAGATGAAAGATGGCTCTGTTTTAGTTACTTCAAAATAAATAATAATTAATGGAACAATACATTTGTAATGAAAAGTGTAGAATATTATGACATTAACATGTCAGATATACTAAAACATTCTTAAAATTGACATTGTTTTATATATTAAAATTATTTTAAAAGTAAAATTAAAGATAACACTTGATAAATGTCTGTCATATAGAGAGGATGACTCTAAGATTTTGTACAAACAGCTTCAGTCAGTCATTCTTTACACTGTTCATCTGCACATGTCTGTTGTTTTTCTGGAGATGGAAAACTGCCTTCACCTGAATAAACAGCAGAATCTTCAGTCCTCAGACTGTTCATCTGCAAATACACCTGCTATCTGCTGTTGTCTCTGGAGATGGTAAACTGTCCTTGTACTCCGGGCCAGTTCTAGACAGGCATATATGAGGGGGCAGACAGAAATGTAAAGGGGGCACAAGGTGGCAATGCAGGCGAGAAAGGTGTGGGGGCTGTGTGGGGTGCTCTGGATTCAGAGTTCCACAAACGATTATTTTGATAGTCGACTAGTCGCCGATTATTTTTGCGATTAGTCGACTAATCATCCATTGGACATAAAACGAACATCTTATTGCACCAGCATGCATCTGCTTTTATATAACTATCATTAGCTTACAGCTTGAAGTATGTGCTAACTAAAAAGGTATGTGCTAACTAAAAATAAAGACAAGATGGTAGTTTATTAAACTTTTAATGAAATTTGCAGATTGTCTCGGTGGAGTTTAATATACTCAGTCGTCTGCTCCTTGCTATCTAAAATGTAACAGGACACTGGAGTAAATTCTTTACCATCTCACGCTTCTGTTTAATCAGTTTTCTGTTTGACATTTTTTCAGCTGTGTGAAACTTTAATCTCAGTCAAACCGATTTACTCGCTTTAATGATTTACTTGCTACTTATTCCTGCGTCTTTCAGGATCTTACAAAGCTTCAAACAACGCGCCAACTATTAAATTAGTCGTTGACGATTTTGATAGACGACGTAATCATGACTAGTCGACTAATTATGGCAGCCCTACTCTGGGTAACAGTTTTTGTCATGTAATTGGTTTGCACTTTGTCAGGCCTCTACCTTAAGACCTGACCAACTTGGGTGTCCCACCTGAAGGCTAAGCTTCTGCTGGTCTAGCTTTTATGGTCACTAAGACACGCAAAGACCACGTTAAGGTGAAAAAATAGAGAAGTATCATTTTTTCAGTGACCTTATTATAGTCTCTTTTTACTTTATAATACAGAAATTTTCAAAATTTAAAACTTACAATACATCAAGCGACTTTTTCATATCACAGGACCTATGCTCTATCCATCTGTGTTTTTAGGAAAGATCTCAAACTCCAAACTATTTAAAAGAAGTAGTACAAGGTTTATATTTGTGTGCATTATACGTATGGACCCAGTCCCTGTCATTCTTTATTTCTACTGCAGCACTTGCAAGTGCGTGTCTATTTCAAACTTTGCAGTGATATCGCACCCAGGCTGATGCCCTCAGACATCGGTGCGTTGATGGTTCTTGGTGTCTGGGGCTGGGCGCTCATGTATGTACCGGCTCACTCCTGGTGGCCGCTTGGCAGGGCCTGGAGCCTGTGACCCGGTTGGGCCCCTTCCAGGGGGTGGGGGGCCCTCAGGCCTCTGGCCTCTGGGCCTGGAGCTCGGTCCTCTCTGGCACAGCTGGCTGCCAGCAGAGCCCGTCGGCAAGTGACCCCTTGTTAGGTTTATATTGTTAATTGTCATTTATGCTTAGAAATATTTACTCATATATGCTTAGAGGTATATAATCAATTGCATAATG